TGGATCCAGCCTGGCCAGGTCCCTCTGCAGAGCCCCCCTCCCCCCCAGCAGATCCACACTCCCTCCCAGCTTGGTGTCCTCTGCAAACTGACTGAGGGTGCCCTCGATCCCCTCGTCCAGCTCATTAATAAAGATGTTAAACGGGGCTGGCCCCAGCACTGAGCCCCAGGGGACACCGCTTGTGACCGACTGCCAACTGGATTTAACTCCGTGACCACAACCCTCTGGGCTCGGCCATCCAGCCAGTTTTTTTACACAGCAAAGAATACGCCTGTCCAAGCCACGAGCCACCAGTTTGTCTAGGTGAATGCTGTGGGAAACAGTGTCAAAGGCTTTATTAAAAGTCCAGGCAGACAACATCCATGGCCTGTCCCTCATCCATTAAGTGTGTCACCTTGTCACAGAAACTCAGGTTAGCCAAGCAGGATCTGCCTTTTATGAACCCATGCTGACTGGGGCCTGATCTTCTGGTTGTCCTGGACGTGCCCAGTGATGGCACTCAAGATGATCTGCTCCATGACCTTCCCCGGCACAGAGGTCAGGCTGACAGGCCTGTAGTTCCCCGGATCCTCCCTTCAGCCCTTCTTGTAGATGGGCATCACATTTGCCAACCTCCAGTATAGCTAACCCATGGAGACCATCCTGGACCCAGTGGTTGTCAGAAGAGCTGTTCCCACCACCAGGAGCTGGACAATCAACTGAAAAAGAGCTCCTCCTTGGCTCTCCTGGCTTCCTCTATCCCTGTTTGTCTGGGCTTTTCACTGGCTACCAACAGTAAGAGGACCATGCAATACTGTATGGAAAGAGGAGCCAGAGAACTAAAACACCCAGGATCACAAACCAGATTATCGATCAGTGCTACCCTGCTGTTAACAGAGCTGTTTTGCACCAGGTTCTGTCACCATATGGTGGCTTTGTTTTACCCTGTGGCCAGGAACATCACCAAGGTGGCTGTCACCGCCCCAAGCTTCTGCCAGCACTTGTACAAGTACTTGCAGCCTCTCACTTGCTGAAGAGTACAAATTCAGCACCCAGCGCTTCTCAAACGATAATTAACTTGTCACAAGGACATCTTGGGTGGAAAGAAATCAGCCATTTTAGTGCCAGGTAAAAAGTCCAGCTCTCCCCAGGGCTCCTGCTCAGCCTTCCTGTTACCGAGGGCTGCATTGTGCAAGTGAGGAAACAGAGGCAGGGGCTCCCCAAGAAACCCAGGGCTATGGGAGGAGCTGAGAGAGGATTTGGGGCCATTTGGGGGGATCCTAGCTCACTGGCTGCCTACACTGCAGGGCAGAGGGGCTCCCTGGCACCCCCACCACCCTGCCAAAGCACCCCTCTCATCCAAGTTCCCTCCTTCCCCTGCATTGGAAGGAAAACCAGGGCGTACCACTGCCATGATTGCGCTGTTCACCAGACCAGCACCAGGCGTACCTGGGCTCGGAGCTGGTACTACCCAGCTGTGCTGGCTGGTGTGCTAGGTGCAGCATAACATCCCCCACCAGCCTTTCTCCTTCCCCTGGCCTTGATGCTGTAGTAGCAACGCCATCAAATCTTCACTCAAGCGCCCAAAATCAACTGGGCTCTACCACACGTAACATCCAGCAGGTCCCAGTGCGACCGAGCTGCTTACCATAGGCGAAAATCAGGTCCATCAGGATGTTGAGGCTGAGCTCAGAGTGCTTCTGGATCAGGTGGTAGGACAAGGCTCGAAGCAGAGGCACGCAGCGCCGGTTCTGGTAGGCTAGAGCCAGTGTTATTTTCCGGATGTCATCGGGGCTGAACTGTTCAGCAAGTTCCAGAGCCTGCCAAGAAATGTTTTGAGCAGGGATGTAAAGGGAAAGCACAACGCGAGGTGCGGATACAGCCGTTACATGGCGCGGGGTGCACTGTCGCTACCGGCTGAGCCCCTCTGGGGTGACGGGGACTGGAACTGGCGAGGGTTTAGTGAGGCTACGAGGCTGGGAGCGAGCTTAATGGCTCTCGTGGAGGGAGGGTGAGGGGAAGCAGAGCCTCCTCCTCTCAGCAGAGCTCAGCCAGGGTCTCCCCACTGCTGGTTCTGCTTCCCCCAGCTGGCAGGACCTCAGTGTCCACGCCTCTCATGTGTCCAGGCACCGTAACACGCTGTTGGGCAATGACAGAGCAAAGACACCCCCTGCTGGATCAGCACCCCGCTTTCCACTGTAATTTCGGCTTTGTTTGCAGGCCACTAACCCAACATATTAAGTTTGGGCTCTACATAAGCTGACAACCTCGTCAGACCCAGCTACAGTGTTCTGCCTCATCACATGCTAGTGTCTGTAGCATTTATTTATCCCCAGGGTCGAGGGAGAAGGACAGTGGGGATCATGAGCTACAGATATTTCTGTGGCAACTGTTTGGCCAGTCCCCAGCATGGGCTGGATGAGGACTGAATTTGACACAGCTGCAGTCAGAGCTCCTGAAGTGGTTCCGAAGGATGTTTCCCCGCTCCCACGAGCAACAGAAACAGGGACCCACTGAGCACCGGAGGGGACAGACCTGCCCAGATCCATCCCCCAGACAGATGCCCAGAGGCAGCTGGAAGGCGAGGATGGGATGGACACTCCTCCTTCCAGCTCCCCTCACCGCCTGGCTTGTACAGAGAGGCAAAGGACAATGGTTTTGGCAGCTGTGTTATGCTGGCTCTGTAAGTTACTGCCTGCCAGGTGAGCTAAGGAAATTCGAGCGTGTTCTCTGCAAACCTGCCGCAGCTGCGAAGTAAAATGCATCACCTTCCAGCAGCGCAGACCAGTGTGAGTCACCCACTCGCACCAGTATGGGCTGGGAAGGGGCTGGTGAGTGCCAGCTCCCCCAGTCTACGTGGCTCCTCAGAGGGAAACCCCTCTTAGAAGCAGCCCTGCAGGAGAAGCTGCTTAAACAGCAACTCATAAGCACACACTAAAGTGTGCGCTGGTGCAGCAATGAGCACAGCCTGGGGGGAATTGCTGTTCCGATATAGGATGTGTCAAAGGGGACGGGGCTCTCCCTCACGCTGTTGTCACCTGCAGGAGGTAGCCTGTCTGAAGGGAATGGAGGCATGAAGGGAGAGCCCAAGCCCCTACCTTGTCCTCCAGCCGGTCCATCAGAGCTGGGGAGATGTGCCCGACCTTGCTCATCAGTGTCACCACGGTTCGGGTGCCCTCGAGCTCTATCCAACGCAGCTCCAGCTTCTTGATGACTTCGTTCAGCAACTTGCTTTCCTTCCCCTGCCTGACTGCCAAGAACTCTGCCAGCGAGGCGAGCTGCTTGAAGGTGAGGCGCCGCAGCAGCCACAGCACCTCCTGCTCCACCGACTGCATCTCCCTCCTGGTGCTCTCCATCCCCAGGGAGTAGAGGCTCTTCAGGAGGTTCACCAAGGTGTTATTCCACACTTGAGAAATCTGGGCAGCAGAGAGAAATAAGGGAAAGTTGTTGGTCAGAGAGAGCATGAGAATATTCAGTTGCCAGTCACGCCAAACACCAGGCAGTGCTCGGCCTCTGCAGAAAGAGCTGCACAGCGTTGAGGGGGAGGCAAGAGAGTCCTCCTCGGTCCGGGGACATCCAGCTGTCCCCCCATCACAATGCAGGATCTCTGCTCCTCCTCACAGGCGCAGCCTCCACAGTCAGAGACAGACTGGAGCAGGCTGGCACCCTGGCGAGGAAGAGGAACCTCAATGCCTGTACCACAAGCCGAGGCCATACACCGATCCCGTTGCTTATAGAGCTGCCATATAGGCAGTGAACTCTCTCTGCCTCAGAGAAGGAAGCTATGCAGGTTTACTACTGGCTGGGTGAAATATTTAAGTAGACTTTACCCTTTTCTGGAGGCACTTGAGCTTCCCTGTGGTGCGGCTGGGATATGACACAGGGTGGCTGGTGAGATGGAAAGTGGTGGGAAAGACTGAGCATTCAGGGGCAGAAACTTGACGGTCTTGAGGGGAATGCCACAGGACTCCGACTCGCCTCAGCACCCCAGGTCAGATGAAACTTAGCCTAAGAGCTCCAGTTTCTCTCCAGTGTCTCCAAAAGGAGGCTGGACATGAATCCCACTGGCTGCTGGAAGCACCGGGACTTGCCCAGTCCCACACTCTGCCCGCTGCATCTCTCTGCCTGGCCACCACTGGCTGCTTGCCCACCGGCAGCCCCAACGCAAGGCAGAAATCGTGGTTTTCCACCAGCAATCGGTCTTCCAGCTTCCATCTCCTTTGGCATCCATCAGTGAATGCCAGGCACCTCTTTATTTCCAGCCCAAGCTTCCCCAGCTGCACTCTGCTGCTGCCACGCAGCACTAAAAGGCAATTCCAATCTGAAAGCTCTCCCTGTCATGAGGCAAGTTCACAGGTCAGGGCGATCCCCCGTACCAGCACAGACTGAGGGATGGATTGAGAACAGCCCAGTGGAGAAGGACTTGGGGGTACTGGTGTGTGACAAATGGGATGTGAGCCAGCAACATGTGCTGGCAGCCCAGAAAGCCAACCATATCCTGGGCTGTATCCCCAGCAGCGTGGCCAGCAGGGCGAGAGAGGGGACTCTGCCCCTCTGCTCCACTCTCTGGAGAAGAGAAGGCTCCAGGGAAATCTTTTTAGCAGCCTTCCGCTATATAAAGGGGTTGATAAGAAAGATGGAGAGAGACTTTTTGCCAAGGCCCGTAGCGACAAAGAGGGGCAACAGTTTTAAACTGAAAGAGGGGAGATTTAGATTGGACATAAGGAAGAAATTCTTTACGCTGAGGGTGGTGAGGCACCGGCCCAGATTGCCCAGAGCGATGGTGGAGGCCCCATCCCTGGGAACATTCCAGGTCAGGTTGGACATGGCTGGGAGCAGCCGGAACCAGTTGCAGATGTCCCTGCTTATGGCAGGGGGTTGGGCTGGGTGACCTTGAAAGGTCCCTTCCCACCCAAACCATCCTCTGATCCCACGACATGGGGCCCATGAGCTGCAGGTATTTCCCTAGCAGCCAGCTGGGCCAACACCAACCGCAGCAGATGGCACTGCCAAGGTTTGGCAGTATGACGTGCCGAGCACGGTGCACTGGTTCCCTCCAGATGCTCCATCTTACCCGGTGGCTTCTGCGCTGTCCGGCTGCATGGCTCTGATGCGTCTTTACCACAAACGGGCAAAGGTGCACTTTTGTCTTACTGAGAAAACCAAAAGTTCATGGGAACAGGGTCAAGGAAGCATTATAGAATCACAGAATCATTAAGGTTGAAAAAGACCTCTGAGATCATCAAGTCCAACCATCAACTCAACACCCTCATGCCTACTAAACCATGTCCTGAAGTGCCATGTCTACATGTTTTTTGAATGCCTCCAGGGATGGGGACCTCTCTGGGCAGCCTGTTCCAATTCTTCACCACTCTTTCGGTGAAGGAATTTTTCCTAATATCCAATCTAAACCTCCCCTGAGGCAACTTGAGGCCATTTCCTCTCATCCTATCACTTGTTACTTGGGAGAAGAAACCAACCCCCACCTGGCTACAACCTCCTTTCAGGCAGCTGCAGAGAGTACCTCTTCCCCATGCCTGGAGCGCTGCGTGGGGTTGTTGTGACCCCAGGGCAGGACCCAGCCCTTGGCCTTGTTGACCCTCACCCAACTGGGCTGGGCCCATGGATCCAGCCTGGCCAGGTCCCTCTGCAGAGCCCTCTTTCCCCCCAGCAGATCCACACTCCTGCCCAGCTCGGTGTCCTTTGCAAACTGACTGGGGGTGCCCTCGATCCCCTCGTCCACATCGTTGATAAAGATGTTAAACGGGGCTGGCCCCCAGCACTGAGCCCTGGGGGACACCACTGGTGACCAGCCGCCAACTGGATTTAACTCCGTTGACCACAGCTCTCTGGGCTTGGCCACCCAGACAGTTTTTTTACGAGTTTAATGAGGATGATATATATCCCCACTACGTTTTGTCTCTGGTCCAAAAAGCAGCGCTTTTAGATAGAAATAATCAGGCATCCTGCCTAGAGCTGATAATTTCACCTCCTGGTCCCCTCAACTTCATCTCTCACTTGGAAAGGTGACGTACAAACCCTAAACAAGCAGCTGGCTCCAAGCCGGCCACGCCAGTTCAACCCCAGGAGCACCATCCCCCTTCCACCTCATATTCTTTCCCCAAAACGCTTCTGTGGTTAGGACGGAACTTACCTGGGAATCTGTGATGCTGATGAGCTGTTGGAAACGTGCGTCTTGCAGAATGCTCTCCGTTTCCAAGTTTTTTTCTGCTGCAAGGCGGGAGAGTTGAGAAATTATTAGCGAGGCTTCGTTGCTATTAAGAGCATGGAGTTCGCTCAACTGGAAGAGTTCCTGAGGACTCGTGGCTGTTTCAATCAGTTCCCCAGTCACTTTGTGCTCTGGATTTCTGCTGTCATCCACCTGCTCTTTGACCGAGAATCCATCTGCCCAGCTGGAAGGGCTCGAAGTATGAAATAAAGTGAAAGGTGCTTGAGGCAGAGCTCTTGCCATCACCACCTTCCCAGCTGGCACCAGCAGAGAAGCCGGGACTGCCGAGGGAGTAGAGATGAAGGCACCGAAGTGCCGCCAGCAGCACCTTCGCACCAAGCGGGCTGCCATGGTGGAAGGCATGGGGAGAAGGAAGGCCGGGGGCAGTAAGTGGCTGGAGGTCAGCGTGGCATTTCAGGAATGCTGTGGAAGGAAAGGAAAAACCCTTTAGGAGCAGGAGAATTTCAGAGGTAAAAAGGAAGAGGTGACTGACTTCTGGTAACGCTTAGGAGGACAGGAATTTTTCGACTGGCAATATCGGAGAGGAAAGCTTGCGTGTGTCGGAAAAGGCTACACGCTTCCCTGCTGGGGCTGCCGAGCTCCAGCACAGCTTTCCAAGGCAGCCAGCAGTGGGGCTGAAGCCCACCCAGCTCCTCGCCAGCCCTGGCCGGGCCTCGCCCAGAACTCCAGGGGCACAGCCCCATTTCCCCAGCCGCTCCCAGTTTCCCCACACCATCCTCCCCACCCAGTCCCCGCTCCTCCAGCCCTTGGGCCCGGCCCACACTTCCCTGGTCCGTTCCCCTCAGAGCCCTCCCGGGGCCTGGCCCGTTCCCCTCAGAGCCCTCCCGGAGCCCGGCCCGTTCCCCTCAGAGCCCTCCCGGGGCCCGGCCCGTTCCCCTCAGAGCCCTCCCGGGGCCCGGGCCCGTTCCCGTC